TTTGTCACGCGCTGACGGGGAGCCGAGGGCCGGGCGTTCGGCCACGGCTTCAGCCCAAAAAACCCCACTGAGTGCACCCATGTCCGCTCCGGAGCAGGAGGGTCAGGGCAGGGCCGGGCCAGGGCTCCCAGCCCCCCTCCACCCCATGCCCAAGAAGGACCAGCCCGGCCCCCGCCGAAGGCGATGGGCGCTTAGTGTCACACCGCTGAGAAACGGTCCCGGCAAAGGAGGAGGCAACTGCAAACAGCTGTAGAAACACAGGGAGCCCTCTGGTTCAACTCATCACCTTCGAACATGACCCTGCGCAGCCCAAATCAGAAGAAGCCCTGTTAAAGCAGAAACAGTGGGCTCGCACCGCAGCCAGGAGCGCTCGGGGGCAGCGCGGCCCCTCGCTCCGGGCATCACAGCGGTTTGAGCAGCTGAGCATGGCACTGTGGCCCCAGGAGGAGCCCCTCTCACACCCACCCTAAGTTTTCACCCTAAGCTTTCATTTGTGGTGGTTTAACCTGATTGGATTGAATTAGACCAGGTCAAGTTCCTCTTCCCTAACACAGCACCCCATCTGGTGGTATTTCTGCTTCTAAGATGGCACATCCAGGCTTTTTATGGCTCACCAGTGTTATTTTTAGTTTCCTGGTGCTGCTTTTTGATTTTCTTTCAGCTATCTTAGAATAGCTCCATGCAAAAAATAATCGACCTCTGCATTTTGCTTAGGCTCGTAGGATCCCCCCCACCATGTGGGCAGGCAACTGCAACACAGGCAGAAAAATCACAGGCCGAACATCAGCAAAAAAAACACACGTTAAGACATGAGTTGTGTGGCTCCACGGCACTGCTGGTCGGGGCTGACCCATGTTCTGCTGTGCAGCCAAGACTGGCCCTGGCCAGCAGGGAGCACTGCACAGCACCCAGCTCAGCACCCACATGCACCAGCAGCAGCCATCCAGCCCCAGAAGAGCCTCTGGGGAGGATCTGGTGCCCTTCAGCTTCCTCCACCCTGAAAGCTGCTTTCTCCTCCCAAGCCAAGGAAGCCCAGGAGGAGCTGGAGCCTGTTCAGTCACACATGAACCACCTCAGCTCTGCATCAGTGTCATGATCTTCGCAATTATTGATGTTGAAGCCAAAACAATGCTAAGCTCTGCTCTCAGAGCACTATTGCACATGCAGAACTAGCAACCAAAAAGTCATCCTTTTACCTATAAGGTAAGCAAGTTTGGTCTAGTTGTCATACAGGGACAATAAAAATAGCACCACTTTTAGTTGTTTGAGTGTAACCATACTTTAAAGTGTCTTTTGACTTGAGGAGGTATACTGCAATAAACAGCAGACTGCCTCTTTGAACAAAGAGTGAGGCCAAGAGCAGTCAAACATGACGACTTTTCAGTCCGAGCTGTGCTGAGGTCTCAGACATGTACAAGGTATTCTTACATACAGTGAACAAGCAAAATTGTAGTGTAGCAATGTGACAAAAATCAATAAACTAGCCCATTTTTAGTGCCTGTATAAATCTTTTAACTAATTAGAAAGAATCAATATGTTGCCAGGAGACCTTGCCTCTCCACATGAGATCGACTTCTTTACCAGGATGCTACTACCTTTGCTGCAATTTATAACCTCTGACACTTCAGCTACTCTTTCATTTCTCCTGGCATGATTACAGTGTAAAAGTGCTATTTTCTAAATTATTTATCAAGTCACTTAAAGTCACTTTTTAGCTGAATTAAGAGATTAGAAGCCTACAAATAAAACATCCCATGGACTTTGAAGTATACAGTTAGATGAAATTATATTTAATGATACCTTTGATTTATCTGTTCATTTAAAATTAAGATATAAAGCAGCATCATTAGAAATACTTCAGCATTTTATAAGTCAAAAACCTTAATTATTATACTACATTATGAACATATCCATTATTCAAAAATGAGGGGACATACCACAGATTGAGCTTTTTTAAAAACTGATTGTTTTTCTTATTCTGATATCATCTCTGCCTATTATGGAAAATAGTCCATTCCACAGACAGTAGTAGTATGATATACAACTGTCAGTCTTATGCAAGCATAGGGGGGAAAATAAAGAGAATGTGATACTAAGGGGGTAGAAGACCAAACAGAAGAGATCAGCCTTCAGAGGAACTGTAGGAATAGCTTGCCACGCAGTATGCCTTATACTAATTTCTGATGCACCATTAAAGTAATAGTGAAATCTATTATAGCCTTTGACTTTGTTTTAAATGCATGTTATAAACAACCTAGAGGCCCCACCTGAGACATCCCAGGTACACTGTGTTGTAGATACACATAGAAAGTGCAGAGGAGAATGTAGTTGCCACTGATAAAACCGGAAGGGAGAGAGAAATACCTGACTGTCATCATTGTCCAAACTGGGAACTGAGGTCTAAAGAGGCTGGTTAATATGGGCATGCAGCAAGCCTGTGGACAACCAGGAACCAAACGCTTAACCTCAGCTCACACTTGTCCTCTGACTCCTGATTTGTTAAATCTCTGCCTTCCTTCTGCTAACCAGGTTATTCCAGTGTATTCTAGGGTTCAGATCCACTGCCAGAGAATTCCGTGGGAAAGACACTTCCACTGACTTCAGGTACCTTTGGAAAAGGTCCCAGATGGACTTTCTTCACTAATTTTAATCAATCCATGTGTGGACCTGCCTATATCACCCACAATTAGGTTGTGGCCGAACATCTTCTCCTGACTCAGGTGGAGCCTGCTGCTCTTCTCTCCCCTGCCAGACTGATTATCAATCTGCCAGCAGAGAGGCCTGCACTCCGTCCTGCCTCAGTCAAAATGAGCGGTTTGTTTTGGCACTAAATAGTAGAAATTAAAGAGCTTCCATTTCAGTAGCTTGCTTGGCAGAGCTAGGGGACAGGGTGAGTAGCCTCCAGCAAGAATAGGGTTATTTTAGGGGCATAAACTGCACTAATAGCACCAACACTACTAGTTCGGGGGGGGGGGGCATCACCATAGCTGTGGTCAGTATCTCCCCAGTCTTGCCATGAGCCTCTCCTGAATCTACGTGATTCTCATGTCTGTCTTGCCAGAACAGGAGGATGACAGGATGAGGGAATTTATGGCTGAATGAAGTCCTAGTTATTGACTTTATGTCTGGTCTTCCTATACAGCAGAATGGACTCCAGTCTGATCTTTGGGATGAGAAATGCAAGCACATGGAAGCTGTGTACACTTGTGTATGCTCCCACTCGGAAGAGACCTTGCCACCACCACCATATGCAAGAGGAAACAAGGCTGAATGCTAACCCCAGCTCCAAAAACACCATCACCCCTTCCCCCTTCCCAGCACTTAAGTTTCCAGACACAGATGGGAAGCCTGTGGATAGCCCCACTAAAGCCAGGCCCCAGCATCCAGCCCCTCTAAGACCACAGGAGAGCAATGGACCTGTGGTGCAAGAATGCTGCTGAGGACATTCCCACCCCCACACTAAATCCACCAGCACCAGCCCTGCTGCTCTTGGCACCAAAGGTCTTGTGCTCCCCATGAGCTGCTCTGCACCCACACCAGCGCAGCAGGGATGCAGCAGCACAGATTCATGAGGATGGGAGATGCTGACGCAGCAACAGCAGAGCACAGAAACAAGCTCATTGCA